ACTCCACCACTGTCAAGAATTCCGGGACGCTATCCTGAGTGAAGAGTGCTATATAAATGCAAGTTGTTGTTGAAGCTCTTTGAGAGTCTCACCGACATGATAAAGCACTAACATCAAATGTAAGGATTATTATTACTGTAAAGGCCACTTGAGTGAGTCACCTTTAGAACTGAATGCCAGCAAGATTCAGCACTGTCTGGGGAGAAGGGAAGATTTGACAGGATGAAATATCTGATACTTTCTCTCATCTGGGGGTTCTCTTTGTAAACCATTGAACTTGGGTTACATTTGGACTGAGACTCACAGATACCTTGCTTGTTACCTGTCTTGTGATTCAGCCTGGCTCATTCGGTAGCATTCTCGCCTCTGTGTCAGAAGATTGTGGGTTCAAGCCCCACGTTGGGACTTGGAACTCAAATAGTCTAGCTTGACGCTCCATTGCAGTGCTGGGCATGTGGGATGCATTTGTTGGCGGTGCCGTCCTTCAGATGTATTATCGGTTAAACTGAGAGCTTATCTGATTGTTCAGGTAGACATTAAAGATCCCATTGCGCTATTCAAAAAGAGAAGGTAATTTCTCCTGCTGCCCTCACCAACATTACCCTTTTAAAATTCAGTGATCCACTTCACGGCAGTTTGTGGGACATTGCTATGCGCTAAATTTGCTGCCGCACTCACCCATAAGACACAATTACTCTACTTTACAGTAAATCCAGTGAAGTGCTTTGAGTCATCCTCCTGACATGAAAGGCACTATACTAAGTGTAAGGATTAGTATTATCGTCTTACATCTGAGGCAAACAACATAATAACCAAGTAGGCACAACTTGGGCTGCAAACAATTTCCTTTCACCAGATCTGTATATTCAAGTTGTAAGTTTAGAATGTATTACTTCGCTGTTTTAGATTGAGAACCACCCGACCAAACGCACTTCAGATTATTTGAATTCAAGTTAAAAAATGTAGGTTTGACCTGTCTGGGCTGGAAAGGATAAAGTACTCAGACCTCAGTGATAGATCAAATACAGTATCATGTGTAGGTTAAGCTGCCAGAGGCATTTTTCTTATATCATAGGATATATAATTTGGAATCAATAGAATACTTATGAATTCAAAGTAAGTAAATTGTAAATGGGCTTGCTGAACTGTGAAACAAACTGGATATTCAACTTTTCCCATTCTCTAAATGCACTTATTTATAGCTTGTACATCTTGCAACTGCTATTTCCTTCAAAACATATATATATTTATGTGTATATACTGTTAGAAGCACAAAGAGTACTTTTAAACATTTCTATTCTCTTCAGCTACCATTGACCTCCTTCCAATTAAGTTTTTTTCCTAATTATAGATTTCATTACTACTATATTGGTCAATTTATTCGTTGAACTCACTTCCAGCACAGAAAAGATAGAAGAGGAATAAATAAAGAAATTTGCACTGCCTAAAGATAAACCCTACATTTGATACAGTGCCTTATCAGGTAGTCAAAACATCTCAAAAGATTTGTCTAGTGTAGTAACTGTCTATTTATAGGCGAATGCCACAGTCAATTTGTGCACAGCAATGTCCTACAAACAGTCAAGATGCGAATGATCAATTTTATATGGAGGATGGTTGGCCAGGACACATGGAGAAATTCCATTCTCTTGTCAAATAATGCCCTGGGATCTTTAATGTCCACCTGAAAAACAAATGTCTCATCTGATGGCAGCACCTCTGACAATGCAGCACTCCCCCAGCAATGCAATGGGGGTATCATCCTAGACTATGGACTCTGAATCCTGATGTGCGACTTGAATCCACAAGCTTTCGATTTAGAGTGCAGAGACAAGAGTGCTAACAACTGAGCCATGTTGAAACTTAATAGAAATAACCTTGGAGCAATCTGAAATATTGTGACATTGGATACAAATCCACAAGGATCATCATAAGGATAACTGCTTATCCCAGGTGAGGTGTTTCCCAGTAGGAGCAAAAATGTAAAGAAAACTATTTAAAATGTTGTCCAGTAAACATGGGCCTCTCCCCTAGTAACCATTCACAAGGCAGCATTGAGTGATCCTGCATCCCACCGCTCCATGTCACCAACATTAGCTGGACATAATGTTAAAAATATTTGCTAGATGGACAAAAACAAGTTGAGAGCCATAAAGAGTGAAACGACCTAGTGTGCTATTCTCCCCCACCCCACTCAAATACTGGATATCGTCCTGTCTAATCCCACTGAACAACAATCAGCGATTTTAAACATTTACAAATAGTGTAGATCTAGTGGTTGTTTAACAGTCACTTAACTTTTGGTTGTCATCTTTCCCTCTATACAGGGTTTAAATCACTTTGAGCTGAATGACAGTTGTTTCATCCAGCCTTCAGCAGGGGAAAAGGATGTGGGGGGGGAAGAGTATTGGCAGCACTGTACACCTCTATAAAATGTGCACTTGTACCACTTTACAGCAATTCTGTACAGCAAAGGTCACCATTGAGGGGACATTACTCATTTCACAGTCATAAATCTAGACTTCAATGCTAAACATATACTACTGTAGCGTAATTTATTCTTTCCATACATTCATAAAACTTGTTACTGATGAACAGGCAATCAAACTACATGGACCTGATGCCACATTAGCAGGTTCTTGAAACCACTTGTCCCCTATTGTAAACAATTTAATGAATGTTACATCTACTTTAATTTCAGTAAACAAACTTTTTTTAAAAAAAACACACTCGTGCTAAAATACTGGATCCAACACAGGACTCCCGATTTAACAAAACAGAAATTCTTAAATCTACAAGACACACATGTGGATCCGAGCTGGGGCTCGACAGGAAATTTTCCATTTAAATTCACCAATTGTTGATGTATTTGTACAATTAGAATTTAATTGGGTCTCTCTGAGCGGACACAACAGTGGTGAACAATTGGTAAGTATATAAAAGACCCATCCAGCTCATGGGGTGGAGGGGAGAAAAGAAAGGTCTAGGTTTCTAACACCAAGAATTTCCTAAAATCCAGAATTTTTCATATTTCAAAAAAAAAGCTCTATTCTGTCCTTCCCCTGGCCTGAAACAGAAGTGATCACCAGCAGAGAGGACAACCAGCCTGGAACAGGGGAGAGAACAACCAGCCTGGAACAGGGGAGAGGACAACCAGCCTGGAACGGGTGAGAGGACAACCAGCCTGAAACAGGGGAGAGGACAACCAGCCTGGAACAGGGGAGAGAGGACAACCAGCCTGGAACAGGGGAGAGGACAACCAGCCTGGAACAGGGGAGAGGACAACCAGCCTGGAACAGGGGAGAGGACAACCAGCCTGGAACAGGGGAGAGACAACCAGCCTGGAACAGGGGAGAGAGGACAACCAGCCTGGAACAGGGGAGAGAGGACAACCAGCCTGGAACAGGGGAGAGAGGACAACCAGCCTGGAACAGGGGAGAAGACAACCAGCCTGGAACAGGGGAGAGAGGACAACCAGCCTGGAACAGGGGAGAGAGGACAACCAGCCTGGAACAGGGGAGAGAGGACAACCAGCCTGGAACAGGGGAGAGAGGACAACCAGCCTGGAACAGGGGAGAGAGGACAACCAGCCTGGAACAGGGGAGAGAGGACAACCAGCCTGGAACAGGGGAGAGAGGACAACCAGCCTGGAACAGGGGAGAGAGGACAACCAGCCTGGAACAGGGGAGAGAGGGCAACCAGCCTGGAACAGGGGAGAGAGGGCAACCAGCCTGGAACAGGGGAGAGAGGGCAACCAGCCTGGAACAGGGGAGAGAGGACAACCAGCCTGGAACAGGGGAGAGAGGACAACCAGCCTGGAACAGGGGAGAGAGGACAACCAGCCTGGAACAGGGGAGAGAGGACAACCAGCCTGGAACAGGGGAGAGAGGACAACCAGCCTGGAACAGGGGAGAGAGGACAACCAGCCTGGAACAGGGGAGAGAGGACAACCAGCCTGGAACAGGGGAGAGAGGACAACCAGCCTGGAACAGGGGGAGAGAGGACAACCAGCCTGGAACAGGGGAGAGAGGACAACCAGCCTGGAACAGGGGAGAGAGGACAACCAGCCTGGAACAGGGGGAGAGAGAGGACAACCAGCCTGGAACAGGGGAGAGAGGACAACCAGCCTGGAACAGGGGAGAGAGGACAACCAGCCTGGAACAGGGGAGAGAGGACAACCAGCCTGGAACAGAGGGAGAGAGGACAACCAGCCTGGAACAGGGGAGAGAGGACAACCAGCCTGGAACAGGGGAGAGAGGGCAAACCAGCCTGGAACAGGGGAGAGAGGACAACCAGCCTGGAACAGGGGGAGAGAGGACAACCAGCCTGGAACAGGGGGAGAGAGGACAACCAGCCTGGAACAGGGGAGAGAGGACAACCAGCCTGGAACAGGGGGAGAGAGGACAACCAGCCTGGAACAGGGGAGAGAGGACAACCAGCCTGGAACAGGGGAGAGAGGACAACCAGCCTGGAACAGGGGAGAGAGAGGACAACCAGCCTGGAACAGGGGGAGAGAGAGGACAACCAGCCTGGAACAGGGGGAGAGAGAGGACAACCAGCCTGGAACAGGGGGAGAGAGGACAACCAGCCTGGAACAGGGGGAGAGAGAGGACAACCAGCCTGGAACAGGGGGAGAGAGGACAAACCAGTAGCCAGCAGCCAGGGGAACCTTTCACCCAGTGTAACGCAAGTAAAACACAAAAAGATATTCCACGCAGTTTCCAGTTGAAGAAATGCATTTTTTTTAAAAAAAAAATACATAAATACATAAATAATAAATAAATAAATAAATAAAAGAGGGAGAGAGAGAGAGAGAGAGAGAAATCCCCCTTTAAAAAAAACAAACCCACACGAGACGTTCAAGAAAAGCAATTACCCCTCTTCCCCCCTTTCTCTCTCTCTCTCTCTGTCTCTCTCTCTCTCTCTCTATCTCTCTCTTATCCCCGACACGTGAGAAGAGGGCCGCAGATGAACTTATTTTCTGTGTGTGGGTGACTTACTTCCAACCAGACTCGAGGCTCCAGCCCCGGCCAAACGCCTTCCTCTCAAAACTCTTCCGTCCTCTTGTTTCACAAACGTGAACCAGCAATTTGTAAACTATTTTGTTTTTTTTTCCCCCCTTTAAAAGCGAGTGAGGTGGAAGGGGGGAGTGAGGGGGGGGGGTTGAGGGAGGGAAATCCAGAGAGAGAGAGAGAGAGAGGGGAGAGAGAGGGGAGAGGGGGTGTGTTATATATATATATATATAGTTTCTTTTAAAAAAAGACATATACATATACACACACACACACACTGTATCCAACTCTCTCTCTCTCTCACACACACACACACTCTCACACTCACTCACTCACTCACTCACAAGAAGGGTTTCTCTCTCTCTCTCTCTCTCTATTCAGTAAAACTTAAAACCACAGGATGAGGTCATTGGTTTAAAAATAAAAAAAAGTGTGTGTGTGTGTGTGTGGGGTGTGTGTGTGTGTGGGGAGAGGGGGGGGAGAATGCCGTCATTTTAAACCAATCCCCACCGACAGCCGCTTCCCTTTCCCTGAGACAGAGGCTGCGAGGCGGCCAACTGCGACCTCAATTAACTCTGCGAGTCTCCCGGTCCCGGTCCCGGTGCCCAGAGCCCAGAGCCCAGACCAGAGCTGTGTTATTTTTTTTTGCATCAATGTCGCCTCCGTTTAGAAACTGCATTCTTTTCGACTTCTCTTTATTTCTCTCTCTCTCTCTCCCTCTCTCCCTCTCTCTCTCCCTCTCCCTCTCTCTCTGTGTCTCTCCCCTCCACTCTTTGCCTTTCTTTGATACTTTTGTCTCTGGCGTTGGGCGTTGTGATTACACAGCGGCCGTAGTCTCGACTCTGGAAGGGACAATGCTTGGTATTCAAATTACTCTAATGCCTGGGAGCCCTTCCAAAGAATTTTTCTCTCTCTCCCCCTACCCCCTCCCTTCCCTTCCCCCTCCTCCTCCTCTCTCTCTCTCTCTCCCCCTCCCTCTCTCTCTCTCTCTCTCCCCCTCCCTCTCCCTCTCTCTCTCTTCATGGTGGAGGGTTAAATCTGAGTGCTTGCTCTGAAGATTTTATATATGTCACTATGTGTGTGTGTGTGTGTACATATATATATATATTTCTGCAAACGTGTTAAAAGCTGCAGATCGGAAATAAAACCCCAGGGGGAAAGCATTGGAGCAATCGAAAGAGAAAGATTTGTTGACCTCTCTTGGTTGCTGGTAGTGTGTGTGTGTGGGGGGGGGTGTTAGGGGTAGACGAGGATGGATGTCATCAACAATATTTGTGCTAAAAAAAGAGATGTTTTGATTTTAAAGCCTGACTTTTCTTGGGGGAGGGGAAACAGCTCCACTTTGATTTTCAAATGGATTCTCAAATGCTGCCAATGTGCTTCCAAGTCGTTTATGATTTTAAATAAAATAACTCTCCTGTAAACTCAGGCATAGAAATGAACAACAGCCGGCAATTAAGATATTGCATTTGGGATTATTCTTTTTTCAGGTGAGATCTGACAGGTTAAATGGTGTTGCGGATTTATTAGATAAAATTGCACTTCTCTATTTGTCGATAGACTTTGACTTTGTGGGGGATGTTTCTGGGCGAAGCAAAGGATTAAGTGTGGCACCGTAGCCTGCTGTGTTTGCAGAGCATTAATAATAATAATAATAATCCTTGCATTTGATATAGCGCTTTTCACGTTGGGAGGACGTCGTAAAAGGCAGACGAAAAATCTTCCCCAAACCATTTTGATGGCGATGTCCCTTTAAATTTAACATCATGAGCGCATTTGCACACCCACACAAGAGATTTGCATTATGGGCAAGAGCAACTTGTTCTCTAAAACGGTTAATCCTTATTAAAACCGTGCAATCAATAATTAAAGCCACTGTGAAACAGCTTCTCTTTTTTTTACACGCAGTTTTCGTTCTGCAAAAGCAAGCAACATATTCATCAGAATGAGCTTGTGTAAGGGTCGCCATGAACCGTTTTGGAACAAAATAAGTGTGCAGAGTACAGAGTACAATATTAAATTGGTCATTTTCAATCTACGACTGTTGGTGGGACACTGCTGTGCGCAATTGGCTGCCGCGTTCGCCCACAAATATCCAGTCAATTCGCTTTACAGTGTGTTCTGTGAAGCGCTTTGGGACGTCCTCCCGACGTGAAAAGCGCGATATCAAATGCCAGTATTATTATTACTATTGCTTTGGGTAACCAACTGGGTTCACTGGCATTTCTTTTTGAAATAGTTTTGGCTCTCTTTATGTCAACATTTTCATTCTTCCCCCTTCTGTTGCACATTCATTTCTTACTTTAGAAAAAGAACCAGACAATCTGAACCAAATCAGGCTTCTGCCAAAAGAATAGTCACTGGAGAGTGGCTGAAGGTAATTTCTGAACTCTTCCCCTTCGGGGAAAAAAATACCCAGAATGTACTTGATGCCAATGCTTAATGATATGGCCAAAATCAGAAACTGGCTACAAGGGGAAAATCAAGGGCATCAACCCTCATCATTCTCTAAACTAAAATCAGATATCTTTACCCCATGTACCACCACAGCTGGATTATTTATATGAATACCTTATGAGATAATAATAATAATTCTTGCATTATTATTATTAGAGCACTCTGCGCTCTGGAATGCCTTAAACTGGTGCTAGGTTTGTGAAAGTTGCCCTCTGATATGGAGGGGTTGTCAAATAGAGCCAAAAATCCAATAGTCCAGATTGATATTTTAAAAGAAAGGTTCTGGCGACCAGATAATACAACACAAAAATGAGCCTCCACATATAGGTGCTGGATATATTAAAGAGCAAATCAACTCGGCCAGCTCTCATTTATCTCCTAGCAATCTACAGCAGTGTTTGAAGAGCCCTGGACTTGGGGTACTGTTTAAATTTTTTTTATTTGAATGAGTGCCTGTTACTAGGCTACTACAGAATACAATTTTTAGAGAGTTTCAAGAAAAGCTATCTCGTGTGGTTTAAAGAGCCTCTGTTTGTTTTCTTGTTCGCAAATAAGAAAACAGACAAGTTCCAAGTGATCAATTTATCAACTAATGTCAGTGACAGCATATCTCTTTCCGATCATAAATCACCTACGTGCTTGTGGTGCACATAATGTAATTTGAATGTGATCGATACAGGCAGCTCTATTCAGATATTACATTAATTCCCGAATGGTTTTGTGAGACCAGAAAGTCTGCAAACAAACTATCCTACCTCAGGGAGTTAATAGGAGTAATATTGCTTTATACAATCTAACGTGTCAACTGAAATGCTTTATTTTGTATACATTGAAATTAATGTGATATGACTTGTGAAGAATTGATCAAATATTCAGGGTTGCAAATTGGTGGAACTGTGTTTGGGCACCATTGTACTGCAATAGAGTGGCAAAATATGGATTAATAAACCCACATTACAGAATTGTCTAGTAACCCCAGCCATGCCATGGAGAGTGAAGTAAATACGGAATGCAAGCAGAACATTGGGGGACAAATCATTGGAGGTACAGTCCTTCAGACGAGACATTAAACCCAAATCTTGTTTGTGCCTGTTCAGGTGAGAAGGAACTTTCTCCAAGGGTCCTGACCAACAATGCCCAAATAAAATTGGTTAAATTTTTATTTTAAAATGTTTAGATTTTTATTTTAAAATGTTGTTTAAATTCAGTGGCCATTTACAGGACATTGCTGTGCACAAATTGGCTGCTACATTTGCTTACAAAATACACAGCCACTACTCTTTAGAGGAGCTGTGGCCAACCTTTATGGTTGCCCAACAAAATACATTTCCTCCAGATACACTGGTCATTCATTTCATGGGAAATTGTTGTGTACAAATTGGCAGCTGCCTCAGCCTACAAAATCGTTACATTTGACAATGATTGCCTGTGAAGCTTTAAGGTCTTCGAATTTTATAGGTCACTAGTCAAATGCAAAGTTATTAATACCTGAATATGTGTTTATTGAGCCAGGTGCTTAACAGTTCAATGGCAGATCTGGCTGAACCTTATCAAATCTTACCATTCCACCCTCACCTCTGCTAAATTATCCTTCAGGCCAAGGACAACCCCAGGCTTCTCTTCTCCATCACCAACTGACTCCTCTGCCCACCCTGTCACGCCTCACCCATCCTCTCCTCCAACGTCAACTGTGAGGAGATGATGAAATTCCTCAAAACCAAAGTGGAGGGGATGTGCTCAGCTGCCTCTGCTGTCCACTAGCACCATTCCCACCCCTCTATAAAATGGCCGTCATCACTGCTATCCTTATAAACTCTTCCCTGGACCCATCATTGCTCTCAAACTACTGCCCCATCTTCAACCTCCCTTTCCTCTTCCCTGTCCTGGAATGAGTTGTTGCCTCTCATACCCAGTTCCTCCTCTAGCACCATCTCATGCAGCATTCCTCAGGGCTCTGTCCTTGGTCCCCTCCATTTCAATATCCATATGCTCCCTCTTGGTGACATCATCCGCAGACATGGGGTCAATTTCCACATGTGTGCAGATGACACCCAACTCTATTTCTCTGCCTCCACCCTCAACTCCAGGACCACTGCTGTCCCAACAGAATGTCTATCAGACATCAAGTCCTGCATGAGAGCTAACTTTCTACAGTTAAATGTCAACAAGACCAAGGCCCTCCTGATAGGCTCCTGTCAGTGCCTCCAAACCTCAGGCACCGAGAGCACTCCACCTTACTAAGCCAGTCCGGCACCTTGGGGTCATGTTTAACCCTCAACTACCCTTCCTACCCCACATTCGTGCCATGTCCCGCTCTGCCAACCCCCCACCTCTACAACCTCACCTGGCTCCGCCACTGTCTCACACTGCAAGCCGCCAAGACCCTCATACATGCATTCATAACATGCAGGCTTGACTACGCAAACTCCCTGCTTTGTCGGCCTCCCCAACTCCTCCTTCCACAGGTTGCAGATCATCCAGAACTCTGCAGTCCGTGTACTCTCCTGCACCAGGCTCTGCGACCCTATCACCCCCATCCTTGCCCGATTCCACTGGCTTCCCATTGCACAGAGGATACAGTTCAAGATCCTGTTTCTCACCTTCATGGCCATGCTCCCCCCTACCTCTGCGACCTTCTAACCCCCTACCAACCTGCCCGTTCCCT